CGATGCGAATTTTTGTTCGCCATGAAAAAAAAAAAGGTGCGAATTGCCGTTAAACTTGTTTCATACGATATTGAAAAATTCATAGCCACTTTTATAATGGCGAATACGAACAGAACATATAGATGCGCCTGTCGATTCGGAAGCAATTTAATAAAGAATCCATTTAATTGCACATAAAGATAGAAAAAGCGCGTCAGAGGATGAGATGATACAAAATGGTATCAGACAATAAAGCCGATTCTTCGTTTACATTTGACTCACTTTTTTATGATTGCTCTCACATGTTATTATTTTCTTTAAACCGCCTCCAAATACCATAAAAATCCGTGCCATTTGTAAATAAAATGGCAAAATGAATTTTATTACAATCGCAACAAGCGACACGATTAACACCCATGCTGCTGAACAAACAAATGTCAAAATTGTATTCAATCATTTTATCGGATCAATATTAAGAACTGAATTACTTACAAGTATAATATCAAAGTCAAAACATTCGTTAAAGTTTCACAATAGTCATTCGGAATGATTTAATTGTATGCGTCAATTTGCAGTCTCATCTGACTTGACTTGACTTATTCGCAATATTAATAGCTAAAACACCGTAAGCAATTAGTGTATAGAAATTTGAAAACAGTTTAACGCACAAAGTAGCATCGTTTGAAGTAAAATAGTTGGATGGCATTTCAAAAACTTTATTCAGGTTTGTATTCGTACATATAAATATATATATATGTATACCTTTAACCAACCGAACATAAGAAATAATGCTTCCCGTTTAATTGATGTAATGGACGAATAAAGTTTATCGTTGAAACGATTTTGTTTATCAATTGCCCAATTCAATGAACTTTTGCCGACATTTTAAGATTTTTCGTATCTATTGAAACACCAAACGTCTTATAAGGTTTTTTTTAATTCGATCTCATGTGAAATTAAATTTATGCGAAAGATATTCATCAATTATGCGCATTGGTTCGATGTAATGAACCACAAGTTAAAAATATTGATCTATTTTGATAAACGATTCAAACCAAATGAAGAATTATTTGTGCCATACATTTTGTGATTAGCGACCAGCTTTCGCAAAGGTGTGACAAAACTGAAAAAATAGAGTCGAAAAACATTGTGCATGCTTAAACTAGTCAGATTTTAAAAGTTTGCTTTTGATTGTGCCCTCAACAATGGTAGAGGCGACAATGTACATGTTAAGTGAGAAAGCATGTGTTCAAACTTTTGATCTGGTTGGCAGAAAAAAACAAATAGCAACCAAGTGAAATCATAATATTGTTGAAAGCACTCATGTATTTATGTTGAAAGTTAAAATTGCTAGCTCTCATTGAAAAAAATAATATCCATGACATACCTAGTAAACTTTACTTTTATTGTTTGTAAATTAGTTTGGTTTTATGCACATTTGACATGGCGTTTGTCTATCGAACTAACGAATTGAAGTTTATAATTTGTGTAAAATATTGATTGTAAAGTATCTTTGATTTTTGTTATTTCGGCAACTTTTCCGACTGTACTTGCACATTGTCTCAATTTGTAAACAATACAGACACGCATTTCTTTGCAGCTGCCACTTACTTGCAAAGATAATCAATATCAGAAGTTACCGAAATAATATATTGTACATGGGATGTTTTTCCAACGAAAATGTCGGCAAATGTGATTTGGTTTTGTGCTGACTTAAATCGACTCAGTTAATCTACCAGCTTTCATACAGCGGTTTCCGTGAACATGCCCATAAATGGAAAACTTACATGACATTCGGGAATGAAATATATTTTCCCAGCAAAAACCGTTCGTTCATTCATGCATAAAAAGATTGTATGTGGAAGTGACCATACACTTCGGCTCAGCAATCATGAATGGAATGTTAAAATTTGGTGTGTGTTTTTTTGGAAGTCCCACATTGCAAATGGTTTTTGTAATACGGTATGCGTTATGATGGTGATGAAAACTGAAAAAGCTATTATTTACGGATTGAAAAAGTTATCGTCCAGTTTTAAACTGTTGCATCTTTTATAAATAGGTTTTGATTCACATGAATTTGTAGAAATCGTGTGGCACAAGTTGTATTTGATTCTCCTACTCTCGATCTTTTTGTTATTCAAAATTCTGTATAAGTATTTTTTTTTTTTTTTTTTTTTTCAAACTAAAAATTATACAAATGATAATATCAGAAATGATAAAGGACTGTAACATGCCTTCAATTTGCACCGGAATTCCAATCAATGAGAATAGATGATAGATAGTAGAAAATATACACCATTTTCAATGCGGTCTATCGTAAAATCCAATAGTGATCCTTTTATCCATTCTGCGATCGAAAATGAAACGAAAATAAATTCACGAAATATCTACAGTTTCAATTTTTGACAATAATAACAATAAAAAAAGATATCCGAATGAAATGAGGAATAATGTCTCAAATAAGGCAACAATATGCTTTGCATAACACTGCCAATCAATGATGCTTTCTATATGTGTTACATGTTCATCTTATTTTGACATTCTTTCTGAAATTGCCAGAGAAAGGGAGAGGTTGATTGATAGAGGGAGAGAGAGAGATGCTGATGTGTTTTGCATCGACTTCGATATCGGTGAAAATTCTATTTCAATTTTTGGTTCTCGATTGAAAACCGAAAACACTCCTAACACTTGATATTTGTACCTTTGAAGTTTCACATCATCACAAAAAATGGCATTTAGTCCGATCCGAAAAGAATGAAAACGGTGCGAGCATTTTATTTTCGTTCTACAATGCATTTATCACATGAAACCACCTTTTAACAAGGTAAAAAAACGGATGTTTTTTTATGCATATTAGTTTAGCGCAAGCAAAATAATAAAAAACCGAATATCTATCAAAAGAAAGAAAAAAAAACGAATATGTTTCAATATTCACTTTATTTCATGTAATATGGTTGAAGTGAACATACCACATTAGTTTATATATGTGTGTAGTATAATATGAACATAGCGACCAGTTCATGTGCCAGAAAAAATGAAAGAAAGGAATACATTTTACGGAATGTTTTGTGAGTACGTGTGTGTGTGTCATATTATGGTAAGAGCCGTAAACTCTTTCTAGAGTTTATCTTTCACAAACTACTTATATTCATATAAAGTGGTGTTCGAATGACGATGTGAACACCCAAATTCATTGAATGCGAATTCATTGAGGCGAATGTTGCGTGTATGCTGAATAATGTCAACGTACGTATTCCGTATATTTTCGAATGCGACTTGTATGTCGGTATATTATAAGTGTCTATTTCCATCGCATAATATTCCATTGGCATTGGTGTGTGTACTTTAAAAATATTCACCAGTTTCGTCGACAAGAATAAAAATGGAGTGACCGCAAAAGAAACGAGAACACTTTTCAGTTTGAGGAGCATTTACGAAACTTAAGATGTTGTTATTTCGCCGGAATATTTGCTGTCATAATATATATATGTGGATAAATAAAACTTGAATTAATAAAGAAATAGCCATGAGATTCCAGATGTGAAATCAGGGTTGAAAGACACAGAAAATGATGAAGAGAGAAAGGGAATTGAAAATGAAGCGAAGACAGAGAGAAGTGAATTGAGTGAACGACGATATCAGAATTGTGTTGGTTTTCTCTAGACAAGAGCACTTTCATTTGCTCGCCTTTATTCATTCCTCAAATGTCGCACAAAATACATCGCGTTTTATATGAACTTCTTTCATTGCATAACAGAGCGGGCATTTCATCAGAGAGTCTTCTATACTTTGGTTTTACAGCCATTTGCTTTTATTTTTTTTCTCTCCCTTTCTCTTTCTTTCGCTCTCGCTTGCAGTGTTTTGGCACTGCCATACTTTGGCTGGGTCGTTGAGAATCGTTTGAATGGATTCTGTCGCACAATATGTAGTATTTTTATGTTCATTCCAAACTCGAATTTTATTTTTCCAAACAGTTTTTTTTTTGCCGCTTTCAGATATTGGTGTCTCTCATTGATGTGTTCGTGTGTGTATTGCGTAGTTTTACATCACTATACACTTGTACAGGGATTTTGCAGGATTTGTTGTGGTTAAGTGCACCAAACTCAAAGTGAGGAATAAAAAAAATAAGCAAACACTTGTCCATTTATGCGATCGCAAAAAATAATACTTTTTTTCCTTTTTTCATATTTTACGTAGGACGACGGCTCTATTACTATGCTCGTTTTAACGATTTATTTTTCCTTTTCAGACGCTCGACATTTTTTGTTCATGGCTGGCCTGAATGCGACCTTAAAATGCGAAACCAATCTTAAATCATAAAATACACTACGATTGAATGAATATATTTTATTTGACAGGACAGCGTATCGAAAAACACCAATATGGATGAAATGTGTCATTAAGAGAAAGCCCAATGCAAACACAATTATACTGAGTGAATTTTGTGTTGAATACAAAAAAAAAAGTATCTCAACCACACGTGTACACTGTACACATATATGTCATGTCGTGAAAGGACAGGCTGTGTAAACAAAGAAATTCGAATTCCATTATATTGGCATTATAGACAAGTCACAACAGACTGTGACAATGTTAAATGTTTTATCAACATATTGAACTCTAAACCGAACGAAACAAATTATTGTTCTGTCGATTTGCTGCATTATAATTTCGTACATGACAATGAATTAAATTCAAAATTCAAACAAAACTCTGACGAATGCCCCTTGAACCAAATTGTACGCTCTTTGCGTGCAAATTGCTTTTTAACGCAGGACTTTTAAAAGTCAACTTATACAACAATGAAATTTTGTTTTTCCCGAAATTTTTGATCACGCTGGATAATGATTGTAGCTTTCGCTGGAAATTTTGAGCCTTTCCAGAAACTTAAAGTAATTTAAGTGAATTTAACATTCTTTTCAACATCATGTGATGTTTTTTTGTTAAATTTATCAAATTCAAATGTCTCAAAATTATAAATGAAATGAATAACAAAAATATCAAATTAAAAAAATATAAAATACACTTTTCAACCACATTCATTTATTATTATTTGGAAATTTTAACATTTTGAATATTGGAAATCAAGCGATTAAACAAAATATAATTTTTCTATGGTTTTGCATATTTGACCTTCATTCGTCTGTCGATTACTGGGAATTATACTATTTCAATCCTCCAATTACCATGTACAATTTCCTGTATTTATTAAATTAAATTTGGTTACCTAATTGCAGATATCTAAGTATATCAAAATATCATATAATTTTTCTAACACAATTTGGTTTTGTTTATCTTCTCTATTAACCATAAATTTAAGAATTAATAAAAGAACATTTAGATATGCGATTAAAAGGTATCATATTTTAAGTGAATATTTACTTTTCTTGCACCAACTCTTTTTTCCTGTTTACAATCAACACAAGATTATTAAAATAAAATCAAATTTGTAAAATCAAAATTAAATACCTTTCAGCTGTCTCTGCGTTGCTCATCTGTTGAGATAATTCATATACTTCCGCTTCTAGAACTCCAATGCTTATAAGAAATAAAATTTGAATATTATCAAAATCGTACTAATCATATTTTGAGGAAAAAATTCACAAATCATCATCACACTGAAACATGAAAATGTCACATGCAATTGGTTGCATACAGAATTAACCAAGGTAAGGACATTTTTTTAGTGATTTGATGATATGGAACTGTTATTTTATAAAATATTATCACAATTCAAAAAAAGAGAATTTCATAAAAACAAAATTGGTTGTAAATACTAACTCTTTTTGAGCTTGCGCTTTCCTAATTAATTGACAAATTACATTAAATTAATAGGTTTTCTTCACATTTCTTGAAGTCACCTCCTGATCAATGCGAAGAAATGAAAATTGAAGAAAAATGTGAAATTTTGAATGTCTAAATCTAAAATGCAGTGAAAGCTGTTTCAAATAACCCACCTGCTTCTGCCTCACTGACCATCAAAAGGGCCTGTCAGTAATTAAAAAAAAAAACAATTAAAACATATTTATTTTCATTAATCACACAGAACTACCAATGTCAAAACTATAGCCAAAAATAGAGCTGTGAACTTCATTATATCACTTAAGATAGAATACGGTATTAAATTGACACTAAGCAAAAAACCAATATTTATACGGATTATCGATCCTCAACAACGTGTGTTTTTAGTTTTGCTTTAGTCGTGTCTTGTCATTCATTTTAGACAATTCACATCTTAATTCCATTTCAAAAGAACGTAAGCAACCCAATTATCAAATAATAAAATATAAATAAAATATGTTCGATTATTTATTATTTACTATATAACAGAGATTAGAAAACGCTACCAACATACTAATACTATATGAACAGTGCCTATCAATAGTTACTATTTGTACACATTTCGATTTGTACACATTCACAATAAAGTATTACTATAGCTACATTCTATTCTCTGCTATATAATATCATATGTTCGATCATTAATGATCATTATAATTATAACAACAATTCATCTACTTGCAGATGAATTACATCGATTAGCCAAAATTTTGGGACCTAAAACAGATCATTGCTCGTCACAATGACGTGAGTGAGAAATTGGCGTATGTTTTTGAATAATGTTGTTGCTCAGAATTTACAATTTATAATTCAAAAACAATAATTAATAAGCAAAGAATAAATTCCAAATGAAATATCTACACAGTGAGCGCTTTATTATAATTTTAGATGATTGTTTACGTACACTAGCGCCACAATCGATTCGACGTTCAACAAGTACAACTAAGCAGTTAGATGTAAAAACGCATTCACGCACAACGTTAAATCGTAGTATACTCTGTAAGACAATAGCAATAGCTGGTGTTGAAACACCGTTTTAAAACTTCACCGTCTATTATCGTTTGTGGCGTTACTGTACGAAGACGTTTGTCAGTGGGCTCATCGTGTGTGAAATACCATTATCGTGAGTTCGAAAATTTAATAAACTTCTGGGAACTTTCACGTGTTGTGTGGTAACAAATATCTTAAATGAAATTCCTTAATGATAACTCAAAATCGATGAAAATGAGAAAAAAATATAATTTTTTTTCGATTTTCATAAGTATTATCACTCTTATTTATTTTATTTAAATGGCGCTTTGTATTGAGGAAAGTGATGGTTTTTTTCTATCTGCCATTCGCAGCGCCTGTACAGCATTGCTTCCCAGATGCTGAATCGTAGCGGTTACCGCACGCGCAACACACTTCGTTTGTACCACACAGAGCATGCATATACGTTCGCGTTCGTTCTCTGTTCGACATGCGTTTGTATACTGACTATGGTATTAGTGTATCATACTCTGTGAGCTCACTGGCTACTTAGACTATATGACAATATGTTGTGTGGTACAAAACGCGTGCGGCAACCGCTTCGATTCAGCATCTGGGCAGCAATGCTGTACAGACGCTGCGAATAGCTAGCGCTATTCAGATAGGAAAAAACCATCACTAATTGAGAATGAGGCAGGTGTTTTTCTACGATCTACCAACCGAATTTTGTTCCATTCAATGTTATGCAAACTGATGATTGTACATAGAGGTTTGCTCTTCAACTCGCAGAAAAGCAGTTAAAAAATATCAAACCAAACAAAAATATTCCGTACAATCAAAACCATATTTTGACACAAATATTCAACTATCATAGGTGTGATTAAATTGTATGCTCATTTCATTTCATAAATGTTTCACGCCTGTAAATTGACACGGCCATATTTTTGCGATCGTAGTCGTTGCTTTTTCGGCAAAATATGATGCGTAATATGTGAAGAAAAAATATTTCAAAAAACAAAAAAGTCTCATCTATTCTGTTTCCCAATAAATATGATATGTGAAACCGAACGGTCCAAGTGACAAATGAGAGATAGAGATGATGAAAATGCAGCTCAAATTAACATTTCACTGAATACATGTTCAATTAATAAGCATCGAATATTTGTTCGAACTAGTTAATTAAGCCTACCATTCATGTCTGTATGTTTTTTGATGGTGTGCTCTCTGTGTTGTTATATTTTGGATATTGTGCACCATTTCATTTCATCAGATCTGTTGATGTATATCTATGCAACTTGTGTCTATTGATATCCAGTGGTTTTCACATAGAAACACGCTTCAATGAATTATAATTATAAAATCTAATTAAAATCAACGTCCATCAGTGAGTGTGGCGAAAATGCTATGAATGTGTGCGCTTCGATGTTTGTGTGTGTATGTGAATGTGGATGCGATTATAAACGTATTGAAACATAGTTGGGCAAATGTAAAGCTCGCATTTTGGTCGAGGTTAAAAGGTAATAAGTGGTATGCAGTGCTCGATAATACCGAGTCGATATAACGTTTCAATTCACGTTTTTATACGGTCGAGTGTTTTGAGTATGTATGTATTTTTTTCGTGTTGGATATTTTTGTTGCTATTGTCACGGTAGCCGATTAGTGATATGACTACGGGCCAAGAATGGGAGAAACGGGTTTTTGAGCCTAAATAAATTGTATTCTAACCGAATAAATTGAGTTTCTGCGATGCTTTAAACGAATGTCAATGGAAAGTCCAGTCTAATTTCCTCTATGTTAGTAGCCACTTTGAAATGATACAAATGTGATTGATCCCATCACTGTGTATATTTCACATAAATGTTCGTCGATATTTCATTAAATGGCCGAATTTAACAACACAAAATGTTTCAAGCCAAAGACAACATGTAACTATCATCGATGTTCATTTGCGATGATGACATCAAGCCACTGTCAAACATTGTTGCGGAAGAAAGAGAGAATAAATAAAAAAATAAAATAAAATAAAAAAACACCATGCATTCGCACACAAATCCACTCAATCATATATTATCGAATCAGGGTGACAATTCCAAATATATTGTACATATTTTGTACACACTACATTATATATTTATAATTTATATTGATGTATTTGTGTTTGCCTATCGAATATGAATGGCATATAACTGTAAAATTATAGTCATCGTGCATGATTCATCGCTCGTATTTTATCTTTCATTTGACTGACATAATTCGAAATTGAATTTTTTTCGTAATTTATTTAATCGGGTTTCTGAACGCTGTCGATAACACCTTTAAGACCATGTACAAAAACGTGCGTCCATCATTCGAATTGCACTTTTTTTCGACATATGTTGGTGATGCATTTAGGACAAATATAATTCTATAATTGGGTACATACCATCCCAAATCGAATGTTGACATCTATGTATAAATATTGAAATTAAGAAATCGATGCCATGCATAAAATTATTATGTGTTATGGTATCTTTTTTTTGAATTCTTCATCAACAGTCATTTGAATTGTAACGAAATTATAAACAAAATAATAAAATTCATCTATGGCTCGGGGTTATATCGATAATTCAAATTAAATTTTCCGATGGCACCACACCATAAATCCGTCTCGCAACCACTGAATTTTCCCACATATCCGCAAATCACGCCCACCGAACGTTTTAAACATTATAACGGCAGCAATATTCGGTTGACGGCCTTCTGACGTCGCAAACAACTATTTTACAGTGAAAAACACAAACAAACGGATTTAAATCGCTGACTCAGAAGATGTGAAATGAGATGACAAAAAAACGACGAAAGGCAGAAAATTATATAGTAAAACAATTTCCTTGCAAAAATTGAAGTCGCATCCAATGGAAGAAAAATGTATGTGAAATTTTCGTTGGGAGAAAATATTTGATTCGATGTCATTTTTCGCTTTTTATTCATCGCTCGTCTCTCTTGGTTGCTATCGCCTTTTTGCGTCGTTTGCTGCCTCTGCCTCCGCCGTTTGCTATTACTGCTTTTGCTGTAATGTTACCATTTGGTATCGGAAAACTCTCGAAACATTTTCTTTCGATGGGATATTAAAAGCGGGATGGTATATTCATAAAATCGCATACAATTGCAGCATTAGAAATTGGTCCAGCTTAAGTAATTTATAGATTTAATCTTGAATCAACATACCGCTAATGCAAAAGATCTTATTCTTCTTATTCTTACATATTTCATCGTTGACACGAAATGACAACGAGGAAATGGCAAATCCGCTTTCAACATATTTTGTCACGTTTTTCAAAATGTGTTTACATACACAAATCACAGTATGAAACATCCTTTCCGCTTTCTTTCATTCTCTCTCTCTCTCTCTCTCTCTCTCTCTCTCTTTCTCTATATTTCTGTCGTTCTCTTTCCCTTTCTTCTCCAGTTTTCCGTCAGTCGTTCGATCACATTTTCCGGCAAAGCGCTTGTTGCAAATCCTCAAAATGAACAAGCAGAAATGTTAGAAGCTGTTATTCTTGTTCTAGACATTTGCTATATGTCAAACTCATACTGCCCTCTTGTTTTTCGTAATAATCGAATCATGGCAAGCAAGTTCATTGGAACTAACTCCCAATTGTTTTGTGCATCATAAAAGGAAATTGGTTAACATTCGACCATCATTTTAGATCATGCTATGGCTGGCCAAAAACTATACCCAGATTTGCTATAATTTGAATTTTGTTATTGTCTTCCACGTTCACATTTTACTTTATATCCACTGTATATTTTCTGATCAATATTTTTCGACAGCCCTAAATCATGAATATTTTTGAACATATGAATTGAATAATCACAGTTAGGTTGCTACTTTTCCTTTTGATCTCTTCATTCATATAGTTTCAAAATCGAAACAATTGAACAATGCGAGTGCATATTTCTTGCAAGAAAACATACGTTTTGTACGGTTAATAGCTGTATATGTATTTCTTTAGGGAAATTGGTTCCATTGACCGGTACAGAACCAACCCTTATCACGGGGGAAAATACGAACTCGATACTAGAAAAAACTAGAACTTATTAGAGAAAACTAAATCTTGAAAAATGTACATGTCATATGGCGTTTTACTAGAAATACTAGTGCCTACTAAAAATCGTATCCTCCCCCTAGAACCTCATACATTCACAATTCATTTCCGATTTGGGTGCGTGTGCTTGTGTGTTTGGAAAATTATTGGAAATGTTCAATGGAAAATATTTTCATAATTTTTGCGAGGGGTACTTTTCAAATGGCATACCTATTTATTTGTGTGAATTAAATGTCATAGCGTAAGCATCGCTGTTGTTAATTTTGTT